GCGGTATACGAAGTCGACTGTCCTACATTCCCACCTGCTGATCGGACTTGCTTCAATATAAACTACACCATTACTAATATCATGAACCTCAAAGGACTCCTTGATAAGATCATTCCTGCTAATAAGACTGAGGGGGCGGCTTCCGAGCCTATAGGCTCTGGGGAAGAGACTGAAGCTCCTTCAGCTACTCCTGTCTCATACTGCAACAGCACCAGTCACGCTCAGCAACACTGGAGCTTCTCTACACTTGGTACACTGGCTGACCTCTTTATCAAGGAAGACCTAAAGGCTCTTGCTGGTACTATAACAATCTAAAACTAATACTAAACACACACACACACATACACACACACACACCCTGCTGCTGCATTTGATGATTATAGCTATATATTGTAGTTTTATTATTTCGCTATTAGCTGCTGCTTTTCATTCTTTATATTTCAAATTTTTTTAAAAGAAGCAATTTGCAACTCACCAGATCATTCATATCCACACACTTTTAATACAAATATCATGCCAAGAACCTACAACTAACACATAACATAATACAATGCATTTGTATGACCCAAAAATTCATTAGTAGTACAAACCTGGCATGCATGCTATTGAGTGTGTTTGTCAATAATTAAATACATACCAACTCAGAGATTAAAAATCATTCTTGGGTTATATGTACACATACCTTTGTTGAGAGCCACAACTGAAAGTCCGATCCCAGTATCCAAAACATCCCAATTAATGCCCAAGGGTTGATGAAATATGTGACTGGTGTGTCGTCCCATATAAGCAACTGAGTGGGTTTGGTACATATTGTTTGAATTACAGGGGTCAACCCTAACAACCTGGAGAGAGAGAGAGAGAGAGAGAGAGTGAGAGATGGAATAAAATATATGCACATTATACTCTCATTCCTCCCTCTCATGCATTACCTAGCAATCAAACTGTCATTGTCAGACATTGGTTCAACTGGTAGTGCTAGCTGAAATGACTGGAACTGGTAGAGATAGAGTACCACAAGATGACAGGATGAGTAGAGCATGGCCACAATCCTCATGAATCTTACGAGGGACATCAGCTTGACCCTCCAGTGAAAGCTCCATACAAAAAGAAGGAACAAGAAGCAGAAGTAGTAAAAGAAAGAAGTGAGAGATGGGACAACACTACCACTAAACAGGAACATGATAAATATCAGGAATTCAACACTCCATTGAAAACATTTCGGGAACTGGTAATATTCTTGTTGGGGGGTCATAGGACGAGTGGCGGAGGTTAGGGCAGTCGCTTCATTTGGAGAATCTAAGCCAGTTGATGGTGGGGGCTCCACTGAATGAAGAAATGAGACTTTAAGAGCAAGACCAGCTGAGACCGAACTGATGATAAGGACAACAACATCTGGCAATAAATGTCTAACAATATCAACTGGAGGAACAGTAAACCTAAGAGCAGAGAAAGAAAGAGAGTAAGATTGAGCTGAGTGATACAGTAAAGAACATACAATATTAGTCCACTTTGTCTTAAAATGACTTCCAGTGTATCACCTACAAATGAACAGTCATAATGTCACATGACAATATGTCACATGCCCATGCAGTATAACTCACATGATCCTAATGTAAAGCCAGTTGCTAGTGATATCTGGAAACCCACTTGAGCAAGCGTGAAAAGCAACGAGGCAATAACAATAATAAAAAGATACACGACACTAGAAACTAGAATAATAGGAAAAAAACAAAATTGCACATAATTAATAATTAGTAATTAGTGTCATACACACATGTACATATACATATACAGTGATGGTTATAGACCCACTGCAATGGCTGCAATAGGAAAGAAGCTGGAAACCAGTTTAAACTATGACTCTGCTGAAAAGACAAGTGCTTACAATAACTTCAACTATGAAGCCTGAACTATGACATCAAGTTCAAAGTTCATGTACATTTAATCATTACTCTCACAGGAGCAAGGCAAACCAAAGCTAAGAGGACTCTCTTTCACCAGAGGATTCTGTGCATGTAGGATTGATCAACTGTCAATTGCATAACAATAATTATCATTATTGTCATTATTGTCATTATTGCATTACTGTCAATAAATTAACCTTTTTGTTCCCTCAAACACCACCAACATCAACCATTAACGGTATTGTATTTTTAGCTATATATA